AATGATTTTAAATCATAATATATGGTATCTTTACTTATGCATTAGATTTTCAAAAGTACTTAAACTTAGCCCTTTTTTGAAAATAGGTGGGGAAATATTAGAAATATTTTCAAAATAATGAAAACATGATTAAGTAAGAAACTTAATCAAAGAAAAATTATGTTGAGTTAAAATATTGCTTAAGAAAAGTTCCTATAGTCAAATTGACGTGATTATATAATAGAAAGAGTCAAATCAAAAGATTATTTTATATGAAGAATTGTAATTTCCAAAAACATGGATAATGATTTCTCTTTGTATGAAAAGTTCAACTATTCAAATGAACAAATATGTCTTTAATCTTTCAAAAAGACATATTTTTAACTAAAAGGAAGTGATCATTGACTGAAACAACAAAATTAAAAGTCACTACCTTAGATTAAATCTCTATAAATAGATATTGATGTGGGTTCATTTGAAATACAATTCAATTCAAAATTACACATTTCCTTCTCCCAACTTTCTCTTAGAAGACTAGTTGCCTTAGTACTTTTGCTAGGAAACTTTGTTAAAGACAAGGCACTTTCGTTTCTCACTAAGGAGTGTTTAGTGGTTTCGTTTTTCTAGTGAAAAGTAAATCAAACTTAGGCTTTATTGTATCTTGGAGGTTATTTGATTCAACCTCTCTTGCATGCCATAATTGGTGAGGATGAAATAAGTTTTAAGAAAAGTGACAATTGCAAGCACGCCTTACAACCATTTCCGTTCATGATTAAAGGTTCCATTGCACTACAAGATGGTTACTAGAAGACTATAAGAAATACTATAAGAAAATCACATTAGGTTTGTATTGTTTGGTGTCCTTAACCTTGTGAGTTTTTCTAGCATTTCCCCATTAACAAATTGCAAAATGAAATGACACCTTTAGATGTTCTTTGAAGCCCTTAACATTTGATAGGATGGGATCTAAAGTTGCAATTTTAAACATGGCATGATGACATAATATGAAAAAAATATAAAAGTTATATGCTTTAAAATTTTAATAAAAACTTTATATGAATTTGATAAAAATAAAAAATTTTGTTTCACGTTTGATGTATAGATATGAATTATGGCACAATAACTTTAATATTTTGTGTTTAATATAAAAAGACATAAATATACAAATTTTTAAATCTAAATGTATCTTTGGTTGACAAAATTTACTTGCTAATAATCATATATATACATATATATATTATAAAAGAGAAAACTCTACCATTAAAATTCGAGACTCCAATTTAAAGTATTTGGATGAAAAAAAAAATTTTGTGCTAGAATGACTAAATATATATTTTATATAATATATATACTCACGTTTATGCTTACATAATGGTAACTAATCATGCATATGTTAACAATTTAAGATAACAATTAGTGAAAAAAACCTTGACACATCAACCCTTTTGAACTCTGTCAATAGTTGCGTGAATTATTTGATAAAACGTTGAAATTTTAATTTTAAAGATTATAATTTAAACTTTTACAACTTTAAATTAAAAAAAAAAAAAAAGAAAACCTTTTTCAACTCTGTACGTGTCTTTTTTCATGGATGGTTGGCTTTACCTTCTGTCTTAAACATAGAAAAAGCTATAAAAATGAATAAATACAATCCGAGCAACGTGCAAGACCGACCGCTTTTTGGAGTACAAGAAAGGTTTAGTCGTTAGAGATAAGAATGAAAATAAAGGATTATGAAAAGGATTGGGTGATTCAACCACGCAAGCTCTATGTGGTAGGAGCGTTTAGATTAGTTATAAGAAAAAAAATGATTAGCAGGTAGTAATTATCTTTTCAAAAGGCTAGTTGCATTGGCTTCAAGATTATATTAAAGTTGAAAGCTTTTCTAAACTTTTCAATAACTTTATACGTCTGAATTGAACCGTATCATGTGGCTTATATTTGTTAATGAAGTTACAAAGTACAAGTTTCTCGGTCCTTTGATCATCTTTTCCCAATATTTCAAACTTTTTTCTTCCTTCTTTTTCTATCACTGGAAGGATTGCTGTTAAAGTAAATATTTTCACACAAACTAAAAGTTGGAAAAGAGTGGCCTTTGTGAAGATGACTTGTAGTGCCCAACTATATATGCTGCTTTCTTTTCAAGTTGAACACATGGTCGAGCAAGACCAAGTCCACTTTTGTGCTCCACGTTAGAAAAAAAAAAAATCCTTACCCAAGCCATACGCCCATATCATCAAAAGTATAGATTTTGGTCAACACAAGATCAATATTCATACTTACTCATAAGTTGAATTTTATAAACTTTTTTTTCTTTTTTACGATGGAGTGTTAGATATTTAATTTTAATAATCAAAATTTAAATTTTGATAATTTTAAATATTAAAAATATTTTAAATTTTGAGGGCAATTGAATTATGTACTTACTGTTCTTTTAATGTTTGAGGTAGTTAATATTTAGATTTTAATCATTAAAACTAAAATTTTGATATTTTACCGATAAATCATATGTTTGTACCCTCTCAATGCTCCTGCGGCACAAATCAGAGATGTCGTGAAACCTCTCCCACGTTAATGGATCCCTTTTCCCCACTAAACTACGACAAAAGGGCCCTCTAGAGACATTTAGTATTTCCTTAACATGTAATTCAAGCCAATATAGTGCTTGAAGATTGAAGTTCCAAAATCCAAACCTCAAACTCAAATCATAAATGAGGAAAACATAGCATATAGTAAGTATAATAAAGATGTAAATGAATCTTCCAGAATATTCTTAGACACTAGATTGAAGTTAGATGTCCCAATTAATTATGAGTCATAAACCCATAGGTAATAATGATCAGTTGAGCTCTTTGTTCATAAATTTTAAAGGTGGTCGTACATTAGTCTATTATTAGGGAGCAACATTTTGAAAAATATTTTATCTTTCATATTTTATATGACACATTTTCAATATTAACTTTAGAAGGAATCTTGGTGGATACATATTACAAATGTGGGTCTTCAGAAATAGCTGCGCAGGTCTTTGAGAGGACGCCGAAATGTGATTTAATTTCATGGAATCATATGATACTAGGATTTGCATTGCAGGGCCAAGCTGAGGCAGCAATTGGATGTTTTGATAAAATGAGTAGGATGGAGAGTTTCAGACGTAATTTTATTAGGTTTGTTGGTGTTTTGAGTGCTTGTAATCATTAAGGCATGGTTTCTGAGGGTTCTTCAGTATTTTAGTGTGGTGATTGATGGTTACAAGATTAAAACTGTATTAAACCACTATGGTTGTTTGGTTAATCTTCTGGCCCGTGCAGGGTTTATTGATGAAGATCTTGACCTTGTATAAATGATGCCTATAAGACCTGATGCTGTTATCTGGAGAAGTCTTCTCAATGGCTGTTCTAATTAAGAAGAGTGCTGAGTGTTGAGCTAAGTGAAGAGTTGGCCAGGCAAGTCCCTGAATCAGAAGGAGATATTGGCAGTGGTGTAATATGTTGCATTGATTAGGAAATTAATGACTGATTAAGATGCAATAAAAGAGTCCGGTTTCAGCTCAATTGAGATAGATGGTGTTGCTCACGAACTTTTTGCCTCAAACTAAAGAAATATACCAGAAGGTAAATGTGATTGACGAAAAACGAGCGTCGGAGGGTATTCACCTGACTATTCATAAGCAACCATGATTGATGAGCTAGATGAGACCAGACAACAACATTCTCTTAGGCTGCAAAGTGAAAGACTTGTCTTTGCTTTGGACCTTTTGAAGTTGCAGCCAGGCATTCCAATACGTATATAACTGATAACAAGAATTTTCAATGTTGAGATTATTGTACGAGACATCACTTTATAGATGGCTCCTGCTCATGTTTAAGGGTTATCGGTGATGATTGTTTGAAGTGTATATCAAGTAATATGTAAATTTACAAAATGCACATGACATCAATTTTAGACACAGCTAGACGGTTGTGTTGTGCTGCTGTAACATGTTACTGAAGTCACAACAGGAAGAGCCTATAAAATAGTTTTTTTTTTTTTTCTTTGGATGCATCATTGCTTGCTAACATATGACTTCCCAGATTTGGCATATGCTATCTAGATGTAACAATAACAATCCTCAAAACTACACTGGAATGGACCTGCTAATATGTTCCAACCAGCATTCTTCCAAGATTTTTTGTGTTCTTGCTGAATTCAAAGTTATGTGCCAATGATAACATAAATATTACAACTTGATCGAGCAGTAGTAGCTGAAACAACTGCAATAATTCCATTCAATAAGCATGCAGCAATTTGCAACAAAACAAGCTCCACCAGACCATATGGGTGAAAAATAAAAAATGCAAGAAGTTGGAGAGAACAAGCAATAAGATCATCTAAATCTTGAATTTCAAATAAAGTTTGGCAGAAATTTTTACATCAAAAACCAATCAATCAAGCACATAGGAAGCAAGTATCAAAATTCACATTTTACACAAGACAAATTTGTAGACAGCTTGACATAATTATCCTCTGCCATAGCGGGATCATTACTCTCAACTATACTCTACCCAACTTATCGCTGAAAAAAATGCAATGAGATGTAGGTGACTCACTGAATGCTTTTAGAAGTATAAGAAGAAATTTGAGTGGAATGTACAAAGCATTTGATTTTGAATGTGTAGTGAACCAAACTATGAAGTTCCGTTGATGAAGCTCAGAAATTAATTCCTTGTTTTGCAAAATCTCTTGCTACTGCAATAACCAAAGTATAATATAAGATAAGGAAGATAGATAAGGAGAAACCATCTCATATGAAACAGAAAGGAAGGGCTGAGAATAGATAAAATAGTACATGGTTACCATAACCAATGGTGCTATGCAGATGTAGTGAAAAAGAAAAGTCTCAATGTTATGATTAAACAATTTATCTAATCAGATGCAGTGATCATTAAATTGCTATGTCTGTTAGGAGAGAGTAGGGAAACCAAAATAGTTTAGCGGAGAAACAGACAGACGGGCAGTTTCATTGGCCCAACAAAAACTACCAAGTTGGAAAGGTGAGAGCCGAGAAAATGGGAAGGATGTGAGTCATATTTATAAATTTACCAAATTGCTGTTCTTTATAAAAATTTTCCTTCTTTATCTTTCACTTCAAAGCAATATAATGGTTAAATTAGTGAAGTATTTTTTTTCTCATTTTATTTTTTACTTCTTCAAGCAAAGAAAAGAAAAACAAATCCTTTATTTCAACATATTTCCTAGCTTTCACATCAAATAGACCAGTGAAAACAATTATTTAATTAAGCCACTAATTACTAACAATAATAATAAAATTTCTTTTATTTTTCTATCTTTTCTACTGAAGAGTAAAAATTGCTCTTCAAAAGAGTTATACAACTTTGCTAATTTGTAGTGCCAAATGCTTGCATCCATCTCCTAATGACGCACCTCGCCATCTAGGAATCAAGCAAAATTTCTTAGCATAGCAGAATAACTAGTTAGTAGCAATGACAAAAATTTCTAAGAAAGTTTCTGTTAGTTCTATAATGTTTTGCAAATCAAACCTCCTAAAACAGACTCCAAGCATTGTCAGCATATCAAGATTCTTGGTTTGATTAGTCCTTTCCTTCCAAAGAATTTTTAAGCTTCAAGAAATATTAAGTTAAAACAAAAGACCCTTTCAGCAGCAGATATAATTTTTGACAATAATTTTCAGCCAATAATTGGGCTTTCTGACAATAATTTTCAAAATTCAGACATGCACCAAATGATGAAACCACTGAATTCAGTACATTAACTCTCTATTTACTTGTCTAATGCACCATATATCATGCCTGGTGATGAAACCAGTCAGAGTTTAGTTTTGCAGTACATTCACTTTCTACCTACCAGCCTAATGCACCAGCATACTATCTAATGCTCACAGGAAATATTCATTCTCAACAAACTCACCATATAGTCATTCAAAAACCCATTTTTTGGGTCCATTTAGCACGGTTAAGAGTATATGAGCAATAAAATGAGACATGTAGTTAACTACATAGTTTAAATGACCATGAATTTGGCAAGCTACCAAGGAAAATTAGTCAAGAATCCTAGCTCCAAAAATTAAAACTCTGAAAGAAAATATTGAACTAGCAAAGCCCAAAAACCCAATGCTTGAGTTTAAATGGTACATTATAAGGTCAAGAAAAAAATCACATAAGATAACCGGGCATACGAGAAGCAGGAAAAGAAACTGCTTCTGAGCTAGAAATGTTCTCAACAAAATAAAATACCTCAATGTCCTAATGCTACACATATTTGGTGTTAAGAATGAGAAGATGTTGTAGATGGACCTATACAACTAGAACTACACTTGCAAATGCTTGACATAAGCAATTGTTGTTCTTTGCAAGTTCAACCACCAAACGGAACATGAATAATAGATAATCCAAGTAAGCTACTTACTTAAGCTCTCAACATCATGTTCAGAAAATTCAACATCAGAAAATGCAAAATGGAAATATATATATATATATATATATATATATGTATGTATATGCATTAAGAATAAGATGCATTGCAAAGAGTGAATTGAAAAATCAGAGCAACTCAAAGAGAAGTCTCACCTTTTGACGCTAATGGAACTACAACAACATGCATATCTGCATTATTGGGAGGAAGCTGCAAGCGAAGAGGAAAAAGCTTCCCATTCAAAGGACTGCGAGTACACACTACAACATCCTCAAGGCCTGTCTCTTCCTTTAATTTGTGAGTCAATTCATCTACACCATTACCCTTAAAACTAAAAGAGTACCCCTCCAAAGCCTCATCATCAACCTCCCCACCATCATCTGCTACATGGTAGTATATTGTCCTACCTTCGGATTTTGGTGGTGAACCCACATAAGAATCACTTGACTACAAATTAAAAGGAAAAAAAAAACCATATAAGAATTACTTGGCTACAAATCAAATAGTAATTTAAAAACAACCCAATTACTCCAAAAAGTTGAATTATTCAAAAAAGATTTCAAGAAATATCTTTTGCCCTGCTCTAACTCTGATACTATAATACAAGCTTAATGCAATGTATCATCAATGAGTATCAAATACCGCAATTGAAGATTTAAAAGGACAAAAAAATGAAGAGAAGTTAAAGACAAGTTCAGATCTTCAAACCTCTTGTGTTGAAAAGTTTCCAGATTTGCCTGAAACTGAAGAAGGTGAAGTAGATTCAAAGTCCAATGAATCTGCGTGAGGAATAGCAGGAGGAAACGAGGGCCGATGATTACTCCCTGGAGAATTCACTTGAATCTCCACAATATCCACATCCCACAACACCCAACCTTGAGTAGCAGTCCGATGAGGAATATCGTGTGTCACTGAGTTCCTCCAAGGCGGTAACCCTCCATTTGCTCTCAAAAAGTTACCGTACCGAGTCTTGAGCTTAACATGAGACCCCTCTCTAATGGGTTCCCACTCGACCGATGAGTCAAGCCTCCTAGGCAGTGTCTGAATCACCTTTCGACCGGTCATCCCAAGTAAAAAGGGTTGGTTTGAGGCGGTAAGGTATCTGTTGTAAGAGCTTTTTAGACGGATGATATTTTCTGATCCGGGCACGAACTCGACGATCCATCGGGCGTTTTTTGAGGATCCATTTCGGTCTTGAGTAACGGATTCTTCATCTTCCTCGGCGAGGAGATACTTGTCGTGGTGGCTGCGGAGACGCACCGCTTTGGCGTTGAGGAACAAATCCATTCCCGTCCGATATTTGTTAGAGTTTACCTGCTAAAAAAAAATGCAAGCAGAGGAAGTTAACAAACAAAAGCAGACCCTTTTTTCTTGTTATCCAAACTTTCGTCTTTTTTTTTTTTTTTTAATTATTTCGGGAAGTCTTGAAAATGGGGATATTTTCCTTTTAATAATGAAGGATGAGGAAAGTGAACCGGTTGTACGAGACTGGCTGGATTCATGGCTAAGGGAGGGGTGCCAGTCAGCGCCAGCCGCTGTAGAAAGGGACATGCATACGTGGCGGGGAGGCGCACGCGGCAATTACGTGGCAAATTTCCTTTATTTTTATGTTTTTTGTTTGCAATTTGATTTCGCCAAAGCTTCGTGTGAGCTGCTGATTGGGGACGCCGGTCTACTTTGGCGATTTTGGATCAAGAGAGAGAAGAGGCATACCCGGATAAAGAGATCTATTTTCCTTGCACAAGTTACTTTCTTAACTTGTTGGGGTGTTGAACTAGTCAATGTTTCAGTTTCTGATGTAACCTTGAATTTGTTTTGTACGCATAAAGTAACTCTGACACCTAGGTGACAGACCTCTGGGTGGTTTAGCTTGGATGTATCTACATAACTAAAAAACGACGATCCACACAAAAATAATATAAAACATATAATTTTTTATTAAAAATTATATATAAATTTTAAAAAAATAAGAATATATTTTATATAAATATAATTTATAATTTTCATAAAAATATAATATAAATTGTTAATATTTTTAAATAATATAAATATATTAATTATCAAATCTAATTATATTCAATAAATTTATAAAATATGAAAATATTAAAAATATATATCAAATTTAATATTTTAATAAAATTTAATAAAAATAAAAATATATTTTTATATTTTAATATGCCAATACTAATTATAATATGATAATTTTTATATTATATATTTGACATGTATTAATTATATTATAAAGTTGATTGGAGTTCTTAAGTTTAGCCGAATTGGAAGGGCTAATCCGTCAAAAAGACTAGCATAACAGTGTTAAATGAAGACACTGCCGCTAAGGAAAAGCAATAAAAAGGGGACATACATTACTTTAGATATAATAAGGAAATGACAATTAACCCTTATAAGACAATTTGAAATTATTTGTAATCAGAAAATTAACCCTGCTAAAAGACACTTTGAAATTGTTTGCAATCTTTAAAAGATGAAACCCCACTTGGGAAAGGCCTTCACTTTTTTCCCTTTACTAAAATTAAAAGCCAATGGGAACAATTGAATATACAAATTCTCACAATCTTTTCTTTCCTTTTCTACATAAGAAACCGTGGAGAAAGGGGCTTAGGATTATCTTTTAAAAACTGCTGTATTCATGAATCGTGAAGGAAAAGGCTTAATTGCCTGCCACAAAGGTGAAGGCTTCGCGATTCTACAAAAGCACAAAAGGAGTAAATATTGACCTCAATTTTTTTTTCTTTTAAAGTGGCTTTAATCATAGATTTTTTTTTTTTTTTTTCATTCAGGAATGATAAAATTAATTTTAATGAAACTGAAAATAATAATGGAAGTAAAATAAACTATTATTTTAGTATAATTTATTATTATTATAATAATAAAATTAAAATCAATAATAAAATATGATTGGATGTAAAAATAATTTTAATGATAAAATTAAATATAATAAAAAAATAACTATTAAAAATATTATACTGAAATTATTTTTATTATGTACGTAATTATATATATTTATTAACTCATATTAATTACAAATTATTAATTTTTTAATTTATTAAATATTTATTTGATTATAAAATTTAGTATTTATTTCATTTTTAATTATTTATTATATAATTATAAAAATTTACTTATTTTATCAAATTAACAAAATTATTTTAAAATTTTAAATAAAAATAAAATAAAATAAAACAAAAAAGGATAGAGAGCAAGATTTAAGGGTAGAAAAAAAAAAGAAAACAGTAGTTTAATTAAAAAAAATAAAATAGATTATGAGTTTTTGACCGGAACCTTAAGCTCTAGTCAAAGAAACAACTTCAACGCGATGAAAATGAAACATATCTTGTAACCTAACGGCTAGTCCAGTTGGAGGGAATAATCTTAGCAGTAACGGATCATTCAAATGGAGTCTAAGCTAGTAAGCTACTGCGAAAGAGTTTGTGAAGTCTATCCCTTCCACATTTCATTATTAATTAATGAATAATATTGCATACATATAGTTGATACACATAAATATTTTTTTTTGTTTTAATTTTCATCGATTTAATTTTATTATTAATATAATGTTATGTAATTATGTAGTTAAATATAATATTATAATTAAAATATTATCTAAAATTATGACGCAATTACATTAACATTTATATTATCAAATTTTTATGAATAGACTGTTATTAGTATAAAATTTTTCTTAATTTAATAATAATAATTCTTCTTTCTCTTTTGTTGGCTTGATGCCTTGATCCTATCTTAAGTTATAACTGATATTTAAACAATGGTACAAACACACCTGGACTCTAATACGGCTCCGGCAAGTTCAAATCTATAGATCCTACTATTAGTGGTATTAAACCAATCATTAATCATTACTAAGGAAAACATATACTGATTTGGGGATAATTATGCTTCCCAACTCTGCTTTAAAAGTATATATCTTTTATTTATTTATTTATTATTATTATTATTAATATTCATTAATATGGTTGTTAATTTGTTGATATCGTTTGATTTGCATTAAAGGAAAGATATAACAAATGTTACCATCAATCCTAACCCGTTCAAGTATACGTCTAATTTTAACAACTAATAATATGTCTTTTTCGTTCATGTTTTAATATCATTGTTGATGAGAAAGAGTTTGCATTAGGCAAAAGCTTCACATAACAGTAGTAAGTTTGTTTTCCCCAACCCACTTGGTCAAAATCTAAGTATATCTTATTCGAAGTTTAATTTAATTAATTTATATTATATTTTTTAAAATAATATTTAACAATTTTAAATTTTAAATTATAATACTTATAATTTTTTTTAATTCTTAAATTACAATCCCGTATGTAAAAAAAATCCAATTTTACCCACAACTTATGGTCATCTTTAGTCTTTACCACCATTTCATCGGCAGGTTACTTAATTCTGTGGATTGAAAGTAATTTAGGTTATATGCATAGATTGTCAAATGTAATTATTGGGTATAGGCATAGCTTTGCATGACAAAACTCCTACTTTGTTTTTTCTTATACGATCAATAAGTGAACCTAACAAGATGAAGCGTGATTACAATACCAAATCATAATCAACTTCCTTCTGATGTCAATTAACATTAATAAGAAAACTTAAATTAACAAGTTAATTAAGAAAAAGATAAACTGCAGTACCTGTTTGGCAGACAATTTTGGCGACCCTGTTGAAACCATTGAAAACCTTGGCGACTTCTTCGATGACACGACATAAATCGGCGACTGCGGACCTGACGCTAAAATATCATTGCTCAAAGCCTCCAAAACTTCATCAGACACCGAAGAAAAGCTCGAAACTGACGACAAATACTCCATGAACGACTCGGACTCAGACTCTGGCACCTGCACCACCTCTACATCCCATAATATCCACTTCTGTGTAGCTCCAGTATGAGGTTCGTCGTGAGTGATGGAGTTCCTCCATGGCGGTGTCCCCCCGTTTGCGCGTAAAAATTTACCGCACCAGGTCTTCAGCTTGATTTGGAACCCGTCTCTTATAGGCTCCCAATGGAGTTTCCAATCCATATTATCAGGTACCGTTTGCAGCACCTTTTTACCCGTCATGCCTAAAAGAAAGGGTATATCAGTGGCTGTAAGGTACTTTCCATGACAGCTTTTCAGGCGGATAAAGTCTGGTTTATCTTGGACAAGCTCGACAAACCACCTAGCTCTTTTTCCTGAGCTGTTTCGGCTTTGACGGACGGTTTCTTGATCATCGTCGGCTACTAGGTATTTCTCAAGGTGGCTCCTGAGTTTCACGGCCTTCGCTTTTGCAAATAGCTCCATGTATGAACTAGACCTAAAAAAGAGTTTAATGGAAAAAAGGGCTTTTTATAAGTAAAGAAACATTACTATGTAAGTACATAGGAAAAAAACAGGGCGATTTTTCTTAGAAAGACTGATGTGGAGACAGGAGATTATTCATGGCATTAATTATTTAGATTTTGTCCGTATAATAATGGACGAGTAAAGGTTGTTTCCTTTGATATTTCTTGTAAGTAATAAACTAGTTGGAATTATTTAATTTCTTACTTTAAAAGATTGCGAAAGGTGCATGGGTTGAAGAAGAAGAAGATGAAGATGAAGGGGAAATGACCAAGGGGGAAGTCTAAATTTTGGGTTGACGAGTGAAAGTTCCAGGTGCATGCCCAAGTGAGAACTAAGGGACCAAAGTCAATTCCCACGCGCTCAATGGGCGTGAATTGATAGGATGATGATGTGGGACAGACAGTGAGAGACTAGACTAGGTCTACGGCTCCATTTGGATTCAATGCGGTGAGGGCGGCTTTTGGCTTCAATCCTGTCGGTCATCCGTTTGAATCGTTTTCAGTGCAACACCGTATCGGTCCGGGCTTCCAGCGGCCAATTAAAGGAAGAACCTGCAGTGGTCAACAGGATACTTTTTTCAGTTTTATTTCTGGACAATTGACAGCCCAATAGAGAATAGTTAATAGCCCTCTTATTTTTTATTTAAAAATTATAATTTTTATTAAAATTATGAAAATCTAAAAGTGATACAGACTATGTTTTTTTGAATAAGCGTTGTTTCTTGTTGTAATAAATTACCTTTATTTGAACAAATGCCATTTATTACGATAATAGATGATGTTTATTCAAAGTAAATATTGTTTATATTGTTATTTTAATTAAAAAATTGTTATTTTCTTTAAATTTTTTTTAAAGAAAACATGAGTATGATTTCGAATTCACACGCTATCAAATTTTTATTACATACAAATATAAATATTTTTCTATTATTTTTAATAATATTTTTATTATAATTTATTTTATTTGAATTCAAATTTATATTTTTGTCATTCATTTTAATGATATAATAATTATTTTTATTTTTACTTAAATTAACCGATTCAGATGGACCCGAGGGATTTAATCCTTGGAAGGGGAGGAACGTGGAAGACTAACTAGGGACCAGGAGGGTTACGCCTTGGGGGACCCATGGCAACGCGGCATCCATTTGAATTAATGGACGACCAGGTTTGCAAGTACCAAGTACACTGTTGTATGACGCGTGGGCTTTGCCCTTGGAGGAAGGCCTCCCAACCTCTAGAAGCTCAGGCTGGGACGACAACTTCAATTGTACAAATTTCTTATATAGCGGCGGCGTTCAAACTGAAGGCGGTCTTCCCTTGGGTTGATTAGTAATCGGTCGTTTCAGTCCCAGTACCCCAAGCTGGCGGTTAAAGAAATTTAAATTTTAAAGATGTCCTATAATTCTGAACCAATTAGGGACTGAGTAGATTTTTGTGAGAATTTATCTGCTGATGTCAGATCACAGTTGCCCTGTTCTGCCCACACGTACCATGTAGCAGTTGAGCACAGAGCAGGGCATTTTTGTAATCAGGGTAGCTGCCTATGCGATGTGAAGTTTGTTAAACGCACTAAAAGGGCTTGCAACCGAACCCACCCCCCCCGCCAGCTAAACCAACGTTGTCTCTAACACGGACAGTTCAGAACAGATTCAACCTGTAATGCCTAAAGATTTCGGTATTCGTGAAGTTTAAAAATAAATACATTTGTATGCATTTACACACTTATTAGTTGGTCCTTTGGTCAAAACTTGATGTTGCTGTTGCTCTGTGTGTGGGTTTTTTTTTTTTTTAACAGAAGAGATCTCTGAAAATTAAAAAAAAAATACAAATATTAAATATTTTTTATATCATTTTTTACAAATGATTCCACGAACAAAATTTAAAGTTAAAAAATTCCTGCTCTTTGGTTGTCATTTTTTGATAATTTTAATGCAACTTGCACTAATTTAAGGTGCATCCATTTTATCACATGACTTAAATATGTAATTTACAGGACAGATTACCTTCTAGTTTCTTTGTATCAGATAATTCGACCTCTTATTAAAACGAAAGCACATGAATTATTATATAGAGCTAGCCATGCTCAGACAGGCTAGGTGAAATACGCAGCTTCCAACACTCTGGCCTTCTCACCAACAGTTGCAGCTTCCTGCCTGCCACTCAGACTATAACCTTTCTCCTTAACATCAGATAAAAAGAATATACATGCATTAATATGCCAAAATGTCATGTTTAAATATGCATAGCAAACAGCCATATATATATATATATACCAGCAAACGCCACAGGAAAGGAGCTCCTTCCCCTCTTCTGGATCTGTTGCTGAATTGATTCAATTGCTGCAATTCAGAAAACGAGTCAGAAACCAATTACCATAAATAACTATACATAACTTTCAACAAGATTAGGAGTCCTATCTTTAGTAACTTGTCCAGTATTCAGCAACATACTGTACTAGACTTCATTAAATACATCAAGCTGTTCATCAGATGCCCCAATCATCTGACATACAGAAACAAGAATCAATATTATTCACCAAATATTTGACAATGCAACCGGAATTACCAACAAACTGATTAATAGTTAATAATAGTACCTTACAATTATAAGCGTTGGGTCAAGTATTTCTACTGCTCCTTTTTCATCACCTTGTCCATACTCGAATATGGCTTCTGCAAGCTACGAATGAAAATTCAGACAGACAGAAGGACAAATAAGGAGAAATACTTGTTGAAAGAAAAAGAACAAGCATTATAAATAAACTAGATCTCGATAAACGGTCAAATCTTGAAGTAAAAACAACGACACTACTCACAACTGAGGCTGCATTAATATAATAGATACAAATCCTAAAGCCATCAACATTTTCTAATCGACCTAAAAACGTTGAGAAAGAAAATAAAGAGAATTATCTTTCAATATCTGAATAGGTGCTACAGTCCCTTGTGAAGGTAATACCAAAATTCTTAACTGCTTCAAACACATATTAAGACCTCAGGCCCTCTATAAAGTTCAATGAAAGTTATATGGTAGGATGGATACATGTTGCTTATCAATAATAGCATAAAAGTTTAAATAGATTGAAAAAATTCCTTACATCAATAAAAGAAAAATCATTATAAATGCCAAAGGAAGCAAAAATCAGAACAGACCACCATTGCTCCTTGAATTACTTGTCGCTTCTTCTTCCACATCGTTGAAAGTCTACACAGAGAAATATAACAGCAATGAAGCAACCACATTAATAATGTCAAAAAGGAAAAGAGAAAAATCTTTCTAACCTGAATTTCAAGCCTTTTAGTAAATCTTCTGCTTTAGAAAATTCCCTGGTAAAAGCTAAGGCCCATAATATCAACAAATCAAGGTGCCACTCCATAAACCAGCTAGCCTGAACAACACAGCGAACATAGACATATGAAAATAACAAGGTCATGCCCATAATAGTACTGTGTCGAAAGGAAAGACCACATACTTATGGTCATTCTTCATTAAAAAATGGAATAAACATGACCCAAGGAAGCTATTACGCCTGAAGTACCATTTTATTTTACAGTGTTAGTGATGTCTCCCTCTTGTTGTATAAATGTGATACAGTACTTAAAATCCTCATACTTTTTGGTCTCTGTAAGAAAAAGTGACTCCCCTTATCAAATTAAATAACAGGAACCAAAGCAAGAGTAGCTAGAACAACATCAAGACATTTTAGCGTCTTCTTAGAAGATCAAAACTGCTAAATATGTCAGTGAAACACTGCTATCAAATTTGTATTAAGTGAAGAGAGGATAAAGACCTAAGGATTTAGAAAAGGTATAGTATAATGCACATATTGTTGATCCTTCATCCAAAGTCAGTCTAAATGATTTTTGAGTTTTTTTTTCCAGCATTAAGTCCTTGTCAAACTCCCCTTTGTGTGATCATACTGTCAGTGCCAAGCCCGGATAAAGGAGGAGAGTTGTGATAGATTGACAGTCGGTGTAAAATATAGTCAAATCATGATGAAAGACCAAACTAAGAATTCTCGTTGGGTCGTCGCTCCTAGTGACGCACTACATCGGAGCTCGAATGTAGTGTTAAATATGCAAGAGTTGCTAGGTTGTTGTTTGGAAGTGATGTGCCGCATCAACACCCATGTGTAATGTCAAATAGGCAAGGATTCTCGTGTTTTGGTGGACAAACATGAGTGAAGAAGCTAGTCCATCGGGTTAAGTTACACTTAGCTACTTGGAATATAAAATCATTAACTGGTAAGCTTGTAAAGATAGAAAAAAAATGGCTAAAAGAGGAATTAATGTTATGTGTCTCCAAAAAATTAAGTGGGTAGGGGAAAAGGCTAGAGAGATAAAAACATAAGCCTCTAAGCTTTAGTACATAGGGAATGAGAGGAGTAGAAATAGAGTGAGAATAATTGTAGATAAGAATTTAAGGGATGACGTGGTTGAGGTTAAAAGAAAGGGAGATAGAAGTCTACTTGCTAAACTTATTTTAGAAGAGGAAATTGTTAAAGTCATTAGTGCCTACGTCCACAAATAGATTTGGACCAAAAGAGTAAGCAAAAATTTTGAAAGATTTAGATGAGACAATGCGAGCCATACCATACTAAGAAAAGTTGTTTATTGGAAGAGACATGAATGGTTACGTAGGCCAGGATGGTAATGACTTTGAGAGGGTAAATGGGGGATATGACTTTGGAGAAAGAAACGAAATCAAAAAGACTATCCTAGAGTTTGCTACTATATTTGACCTAACGATATTAAACACATGTTTTAGGAAAAGAGAGTCACATTCGGTGACATTTAGGAGTGGATCAAATGCTAGTCAAATTGATTTCTTTTTTACCAAAAAAAAATATAGAAGTATTTTATAAGGATTGCAAAGTTATACCGTGTGAGAATATGGCGACACAACATAGACTGTTAGTACTCGATCTATTCCACCTCAAGGGGTCAAAGAAGAGACATCAAAGTCATGAACCACGTATTAAGTGGTGAAACTTGAAAGGAGACAAAATGGCAACGTTTAGAGATAGACTAGTAAAAGAAGTTGATTGGAAACTTGATGAGGATGTAGAAGTAATGTGAAAAAATATTACAGTTAGAATTCAAAAGGTTACTAAAGGGACACTTGGGGGAATCTGGGAATAAGGCACCATTAGGAAAGACTTCTTGGTGGTGGAACGAGGATGTGAAAAAGGTAATTAAAGCTAAGGGAAACGTTATAAAAGTTTATGGAACAATAGGGATAAGGGGAGTTATTGAAAATATAAGATAACAAAAAAAGAAACCAAGAAGGCTATTCAAGACTTAAAAGGAAGATCCATAAGGAGTTATATAGAAAATTAGAGATAAGAATTTGAGAAATAAAACTGTTCAAAATTGCTAAGATGAGGGATAAGAAGAGTAGATATTTTAATGGCATTAGATGCATCAAAGGCAATGATGGAAGAGTTTTAGTGAAAGATAAAGAGATAAAAAAATGATGGAGGGATTATTTTGATAATATCTTTAATAACAGTTTTGAACATGATATAAATAGGTTAAACATACCTTTTCAGGATGTAAATCGTGTGTTTAAGCGTAATATTAAAATTTATAAGGTTAAAGAGGTTTTGAAAAAGACAGGATTAAAGAAAGCTGTGAGACTAGATGGAATCCTAATTAAAGTCTAAAAATGCTTAGGTGAAATAAGGATAAGATGGTTGATGGATCTTTTCAACAAAATTTGATGTACCCAAAAGATGCCAAAAGAACGGAGGAAAAACATTCATGTGCCTTTATACAAGAATAAATGTGATATACAACATTGTTCAAACTATCGAGGAATAAAATTTATGAGTCATACTATGAAACTTTGAGAGAGAGAGTAATTGAATGTAGGTTGCGACATGAGGTCACTATTTTTGAAAACCAATTTAGGTTTATGCCAGGATGCTCCACAATAAAGGCGATCCATCTTTTAAGGCTTTTATTAAAAGGTTTTTGGGTGAAAAAGAAATACCTACATATGACATTTTATTAACTTGGAGAAAACATACGATAGAGTTCTTTAAGAGATGCTTTGGTAGGCCTTAATGAAGAAATGAGTTTTTTTAAAGTATATTAACATAGTTAAAAATATGTATGAAGGAGTGGTAACAAGTGTGATGACAGTTGGGGGTAGGGATTTAAATAACGGTCGCAACTACGTTTTCGGTCGCATCGCATTTATCGCATTTTCGGATATAATGGAGATCATTACAGTCATTAAGGTCATCGTGTCGTGAATTTTTTTTAATTTTGCATAATTTTTTATAAAATATAATAATTATAATTATAATCATAAAAACTCTTATTTAATGATTTTTAAAATATACCATACTATATTTTTTATTTTCTAAAAAAAAGGTATTCACAATTTTAGTTAGATTATAATAAAACATTCATATTTGATTAAGCAACAAAATTTTTGCTTGAGCCAAGTTCATATTCAATGTTAATTCTAGACAAATCAAGATATTAACAAAACATAATATATTAAATACCAAGCACCTATATTTAATAAAATTACAAACTTAAAAATATAATAATTTCAAATTCTATCAACTATAACTATTGATATATATATTTCAAAATTTATCACATGGTAGAATGACGAGGAGGATCAAATTCTTTATTTTTATTTTGAGAGTCAAGTTGACTCCATCCCCATCCTTATGACCTTTGTTCTTGATGCATTTGAGGTGGAAGATATATTTAAGGATGATATATTTGTGGTGAGAGATACATTTAAGGTGGATAATAACTATATAAAGGTGGATAACCATGAGGACATTGAAAATTAGGTTGTTTCGATAAATAGTAACATCTTTGAGTACTAGCAGATGATTCACTATACTCAAAGTTATCAGAATTTGGTCTCCTACCTGAAGATGAAGAACCTCTAGAAATATCATAGTGGTACTTCTTGGCTTTTCCTTTGGATCGAGCTGTATGTGCACTTTGACCCCACTAAATTCAGTAGATGGATTTACTCTATATTCTGCCATGTTAATAAAAAGTCCATCAGTAGCAGCAAGGCCAAACTCGCCTCCAAATGAGCTATAAGGTCGATTTGCATCAATATTACCACTAAAATTTGCACCATCACCATCATCATCAGCATCATCTAGACTTAAACCCCCATCATCATCACTCTGACTTAGTGTTAGACTTGAACTTGAATGAGACACGTTCTTTTCTTGAGATTGGTGTGACTGTTCAACATTCATTTCATTATCAGAATTATTTGCAGGTAACTAATTAGAGTTTTAACCATCTAACAGAGGATTTTTTTTCTCTTGCAGCCATTCTGTTAGTAGATCATCCTCTTCAAAAATATGATCAAGGCTAATAGGATTAAAACTATTATTTATCTCGTCAATGCTTATTCTTTTTTGATGTCTCATATTCAGCCTCATGTTGTAATGGGTATATACAAGTTTATAAAGTTTTTCAAACTTCAATTTGTTTTTTGATTTGGAGTGAGTATAGCTAAATGTGCTTCAGTTATGTTCACAATTTGTTGCAGATGTTGTTTGACTAAGCACTTTGATTGCTAATTTTTGTAATTTAGGAACACAAGTGCCACATATCATCCACCATTTAATTGTATAAAATTATTAAATTTGAATATACTCTTCAATTAAATAATATAAATAAATTATAATTATTTAATTTACTAATTACCTGGATTCATTTGCTTCCGAGCTCTTTGTGCCTTTGGAGTACCAAATGTTTCATGCTTGTCTTAGAATAATAGCAACTACATCAATTGAAAATACAATAATAAATGAATAAATAAAAAATAATTTTATTTTTAATACATAAAATAAATGTCAAATTTATAAAATAGTATTAAATACTAATCTGATTAATCATTCTGATTTGAGTATCTATATAAGGTTCTAATCTTTGAATAACTACTTTTGTACCATCTAATGTTTCTTAAGTACATTTTCAAAATGCTCCACTTCAAATTGAAATTGTAGATTTAGATAGTAACCTACCAATAATTCATAACAATATTATATTAAAGTAATAAAAAATAAATATATGAGCAATTTAAGCATAAAATATAAACATATTTTTTTTAAATACAATTTATATTCTTTGTTTACTTACTAGCTGAATGTAAGTCAGAATGCATGAAACTCCATCTATTATCAATAATCTTTTCATATTCAGTAGAATAACAATAATTTTGCTGAATTACTTGTTTAGCTCTATCCATTGCCTCGTAAATAAATCTCATTGTTGGTTTTTCATCACCATCAACAAGGCGTAACACTTTTACCAAAAGCTTGTAAACTTCTAATATATCACTTGCTTTTTTCTAAAAATCTTTTCTCAAAATGATTTTTCTGGCTTCATAAGCAGGCTCTGATTTTTGTTGTCCCCATTTTGATTCTTTAAATTCCTATATATTCAATAATAAATTTTTAGAGCAATATATTTTAAATTAATATTTTGAACAATGATATCATAAAAAAGATACTAGATTTAAATAGTTATACTAATTACTAAGTACTAACCTTTGAATTGAACATCTCTCTCAAACTTTACTTTTGCCTTGTTATTTCTTCTAACTGTATGAAATGAATGGCAAATAGGGTAAGAGCAGGATGAAGTATTTACTTCCCTTGTGTATATTTCTTCATCAAATTAATAGTCCAAATATGATTGTATATAAAACAAGTTACTTTTTTTGCATCCTTCAAAACTTTTACCACATTTTTTTTCTTGCCAATATCCTCAAGGCACAAGTTCAAACAATGAGCTGAACATACTGTCCAATACAAATGCTATGTCTTTTTCATTAGTCTTTTTCCTGCATCTTAAGTGCTGCCTCATTATCAGTGACTATTTGAACAATGTATTTTTTCTCAATTTCTTTCACAACTTCATCCAATAATCTGTAGTAAAAGTTTGTATCTCTACTACAAACATTTGAGACATCTATAGATTTTCAAAAAATAGTCCCTTTACTACAATAAACAAGGAAATTAATGATATGCATTTGATTCAAACTGTTGGTCCAACTATCACACATCAAAGTGGCACCCAATTCATTCCAATGAGCTTTTAATCCATTAACCCATTCATGAATTTGTTGATACTCAGACTCTAAATACATATCTAAGACCTCATAAGGTGTTGAAAGTTTCACATATTGGCCAATTTTTGCTGTCATAGAAATCAAATTATGCAACCATGAAGAGTTTGCTAACTGAAAAGAAAGTTGATCATATATAAAAAATTTTGATACCGATTCACCCATTTGCCTTTTTAATGTCTTTAAAAATGAATCGCTTATTTTTTGTTGCTTTGAACTCTTACTTCTAACTAAATCAGGTATAGCCCCTCTTAATGAAAATTCAGACTTATTTGGAGTTGATTTTCTTATTATTTTCTCAAAATATTCAGCAACTAAGCCATGAGAGTTTCGTCCCTCTTCATGTATATTATTCCAACCACCAGTTCTTTGTTTGAATTCTTGTCTTTGGTGCCATTCATATTGTGATTGGATACTATCTCGCATGACTTTGTCTAGTAGCGATGTCTTCATCAATAAAACCTTCATAGTCATAGTCTTTCTCTCTTAATTGTGATAAGAATTCATCATTTCTCCTTTTGTTCTCAACTTTCTTTGATCTATTTTCTTGAAGAAGTTTCATCATACTTTCTCTTACTAAACCTATTAATAATATAGTTAAGAAAAAAAGAAAAAATTAGTTGTATATGTTTATGTAATTTTGTAATTTTTATTGAGAAATTAACAATAATATTTTCAAAGGACTTATAAAACATAACATACCAGTAATGTTAGGGCATGATGCAATATTGCTAGTTTTATGAGAATGTGTTCCTTGAAACGTGTTATTCTTCATTTTACAACTTTACCACAAAGTTTGCATAAAACATTTCCTTTGATATTTGGCATGGGTGTTCCAAAATGCCAACCTATATCATTATTTGGTACGCCCTCTACTCCTTTGCTTGGAAACTTTTCACGTGGTGGTATATTTACTATTTTGTATAAAAACAAAATAAACTTATATTTAGAAATATTAATGTTATTTATTTCATCATTAAAAATTGAATCTACATTAATTTTTTTAATTTTTAGTTTTAATCTTAAAAGTAATAGATCGTAAAATGCTAAATTTATTTAGTAATTTAATCTTTTTGATATACTAATTGATGTAAAAAATTTGTTTATCACAATTTACTTTTAATATATTATATAATAAATAGAATATTCAATAATTACACAAAAATAAAAATAAATTAATAAGAATTAATTTAATAGCAAAAGAATTGACAACAATATAAATGCCAAAACAACAAAAAATTATTAAATTTTAAATATAAAAATATAAATTAATAAATAACAAAATCAAAATATAATATTTAATTTTAATTATTTTTCATCTAACTTATACAAAAAAATTTATTAAAAATTTTCATCTAAAATCCATATGTATTTCATATTAAATTATTAATTTTTTAATTTTTCAATTATAAAATCTCAATCCTCTAACTAAATTTTATAAAAAAACTTTTTTTAAAATTACAAAATTTTAAATATAGATTTTAATAAAATTAATTATAAAATTAAATAAAAAACACACACTTCATCCTACCTTCTAATGCACCCAACTTCACCCAATCTTACCCCACCCATCTCACCCTACCCTCCAATGCACCCTACCTCACTCAATCTCACCCCACCCTCCACCTTACCTTCCAATGCACCCCACCCCACCCCCACCCCCACCCTAAACCCTAAACAGACCACCCCACCCCTCACCCTTTACCCCATATAAAAAATTATGAAACCGCCCCTCCATTCTCTTTCAGCCCCAAATTCTTCTCTTTTCCTCTTCATTTTTTGATGGCATCAATGATGGATCTCTCAAATAAACTCAACCAAACTTTTTATTTTTTCTTGATCTCTCTTTCTCACATACCTTCATCTTTTTTAGCAGATCAAATTATCACAAATACAAATATGAGCATTATTCTACAAAAATTTCACAAAAAAATAGGTAACTTAATTTTTTTCTTATCTTTTTTTATTTTGATTACTAATGGAGGATTTGAAGCTGATTTGAATTTGGGTAGTTACCGATTGAATGACTGATAGTATCTAAGATTTTTTAGATGAATTTTGAATCTGAGAAAAGAGAGAATGATACTGAGTTATGAGCACTGGGCCGGGATTTTTTTCTTTTGGCTTTTGTCTTTATTTTTGCTTTTACAGTTTTCTTGTTTTATTTTGATTATGGAGAATCTTGGCTGTTTACTGTTGAAATCTGAAAGCATTTTTTTATTATTATTATAATTTGTGCTGAACAACTGAGTGTGGACGAAAAAAATAGATAGGGACAATAACAGACCGTTATTGTCGCTATTCTCGTTACGCCATTTTTTAGCGACCTTTACACACTGTTTTGATCGTGATTAAATTTCTCAACCATTTTTTTCTTGATAGCGGTGGCGGCCAGTGGCGCTACCTCGATTTCGCGGTCGCTATTCTGTTATAGCACCGCTATTTGAATCCCTGATTGGGGGCATGACAGATAGCTTCCCTATTACCTTAAGATTATATCAAGGCTCAGTACTAAGTCATTTTCTTTTTGCATTAGTTATGGACAAACTCATTGAATGTATTCAAAATAAGGTGCCATGGTGTATGTTATTTGTCGATGATATAGTCTTAATTGCAAAAACTTGTGATGGCCTTAACACAAAATTAGAATTATGAAAGAGTACATTAGAGTCTCAGGTTTAAATTAAGTAGATCTAGAATTGAATATATGAAATGCAAGTTTAGTAATCACAACAAAGTGGGCACTAGTGTGATTAAGTTAGATGGTGAGGGAGTACCAAAGTGTAGCCAATTTCGATATTTGGGATCAATTATTCAAAGTGATATTGAGATGGAAGCAAATATCAAACATAGGATTTAAGCAAGATGGGCAAGGTGGCGAAATGCGTCGAGTGTGTTATGTGATCGCAACAAGAGATAAAATCATAAATGAAGAGATTCGAGAAAAATTAGGGGTAGTCCAAGTTGAAAAGAAGATGAGAAAAGGCCACTTGTGATGGTTTGGACAAGGAAACGTAGGCCTATCTATGCACCAGTTAAGAGAATTGAGTCTCTAGATCTAACAGAGATCAAAATTATCTAAAGGTAGACTATGAAAGAGATGGATGCAAGTAACAAAAAATAATATGATGATTAAGGAATTAGATGAAAAGGTAGTTGATGATAGAAATGAGTGGTGCAAGAAGATTCAAACTACAACTTAATTTGATTCTCTTATTTGATTTTTCATACAACTAATCCCAAAATATGATATATAAAACTTAATGTGTCGTCATTGTTGTTATTAAGTCATTGCTGAAGAAATTGAAGCTGCAATTAATATAGTGCTTATAATACACATAATCAAAACAAAATCACATAGATAACTGGGTGTATGATTAAAACATGTGTTCAAGAATATGTCAGAAGTTTGACTTCATTATGGAAGATAGCCAATCATTTTAAGTATCATATATTCACGTCCTATAATGCTTATGTATGCACTAAAAATTAATAAATTACAACGAACTCAAATGTCATTTCAGGTTAAGCCAAAAGGCAGTCCAGAACCCAGGTAACGGGAATTTAGCAACCCATATCAATTATTCCGAAATTACAACATGCTTATAAATGCGTAGTTCAATAAAATTGCCCACAATTCTTTTATGATGTCATAGAAGGCGTACAAAAAAAGAGGCACTTATTAGAAAATATGACAGTTTTCAATTATATTGCTAGACATTACAACCTTGTAATTCCAATTCTAAACAGATATAAATCATTAAAAAAGTAAATTATATGAATAAACTTGTACATGAGGGTCAACTCACTTGATCTGTTAGACATGCTGCCAAAATTTTCAAGCGATCCTCAAAGACATCAAGTTCTCCCCGTACATCCACCCGCAACAACAGACCTAAAGCATTTACGTACACCTAAATGTGCAGGGGAAATAAAAAATTGTAATTTGCAATTGTGGATGTTGTTGGGAAGAGGGTAAAAAGAAGAAAGTACCTCTACACACACTTCCATATACAATGGTCAGAAACTTCTCTGACCTTTATAATTTGAGAATGACCTTCCAAATAACAAAGAGCCACATGCCACCATTTGTTGGTTAACCTAAATATTTCTTTCAAACTTTAATACCAAAATAAGACAAGAAATAAATGTACAATTAAAACTCATTTGATAGCCTAAAAGGCTAAAATGCATACATGAATTATGAACAAGAACTCCATGGAGAAGAGCATTCTTCCATGAATTGCACTGCTTCTTTGTAACGATTCAAGAATTGCTCGGAGAATGAAATTTCTCTTGCAAAAGTACATTCATACATAATAATTATTATTAATATTACAAACGTTTTGTTCTGTTATAAACAGGAATTTAATGTGTTCATGATCAATCTTCCCCAGTTTGTTGTATAAATTAAGTGAAAACAGCTTTCAAACACAACAGGGCGTTTTTATTGTATATTCAACAACGAATCAGTTGAACATCCAATTTCAAATGCATATGGTAAAAAATAAGTTCAATCAGCATACAGATTATATAATTGGAAACAATAACGTCAAATACATTAATTGAAAGAAATTTAACGTCAAGTCTTCAAAGCATATCACAACAATTAGAACTCACAGCATTTTGTGCCCAAAAGTCTTGCTTGTTGATCTCAAATCCCATTTTTGCAGCATTTTGCACATCTGCCATTCGTTCAAGTTCTAAGAGGGGGAACGCAAACATGCCATATATGTAATTTTCTTGTTGATTTTGAGGTATAACCTATTGAATACACAAATCATTACAGGAAGCCAGGCCAAGAATAATCGAAAGTTCTCATTGGAAAACTGAAAGTTGTTTGAATAACAAGTCAATTCAAAATAATATGGCAAACAATAATAATGCCAGATATGATACACATTAATTCATAAGTGCAACAGACATTTGCAAGAAAAATGGTTAGTGAAAAGTACCTATTTCCCCACTTCTTTTAAGAATGAGGAAAAATAATTCTTTACAGGATAGAAGGTCGCCTGTTGGACAAGACCTAAAGACAGATCAGGTCGACTCATATAAAAGCACAGTACTTGCGCCCTCTTCAATGAAACAAGATCTGTTGGAAAATCGTTCAAGAGCTGCAACAAATGTATGGGGAATCAAATACAATAAACAAAATTAGCACAAAAATTCAAGCTTACACTTAAAGGAAACAACAAATTGAGATTGGAGCTTGAATAAATGCCCTAATCATGGAGCATGCCACCCCTATAATTGCATAAAACTGCCAAATTATTCAACATGTAAGCATTGGATTTGGGACATTAGTTATCTGGTCCTAGTGTATGAACACAAGTTAGAAAGGTTCAAAAATCAAAACTTATGAAACCCACTACCCTTCTTGCCGTTCACCGTAATCTCTTACTATTTAAGCCCTTAAATTTTGTATTATATCATGGATTGCCTTGTTCAGAGACACCTGATAACACCTACTAAATTATCTAAAACGCAGGTAACTAATAATTATATTATAGTTGCAACATTAATTTACATACAGCTGTAAAAAACCTGCAAAACTGTTACTCTACCTTAGAGTGTAACAGCAACGTCATCATCTCTATTCTCAGAAATCAAACAATTGATAGCCTCAACAACGGCTTTCTCATGAGAGGTGGCCTGCTCCTGCTGAGAACAACGAAAAGCCAATTTACAATTAATTCCAATATCAAAATTTCCAGTCAGGATTTCGTCGTATTTTCTAACGGAAAACTATATATATATATATATGTATGAGAGAAAATTACAAGCCTATACTTGGCAGCTTCTATACGTGAAGAAGCCTTAGAAGGGTCAGAGGAACAGAGAAAATGGGCGGCCAAAATGTTGGCCTAAACGCAGTCTTTGTTACGAACAGCCGCATGTAAGGACACCCGGAATTCTGGACATATCGATTTTAGCATATTTGAGTACTCGAAGCACTTTAATTAAATTCACTTACATTTTATATGAATTGAGATCCGATCCAATTTAATTTGAATCAATTCAAAGTTTAATTATTTGAATTTATAGACCCGAAATATAATGATTTCAAGTTCTTTTTATAAAGCTCAATCCAATTAGAACTGGAGCCGATGTCACAAGAATTTCAAAGCCCGATAAAAGTTCAAGTGTGAGCCCAAATTTAATTTTAAAGGTCTAATTTCATTTTATTAAAAATTAATTACTTTAATTAATTAAAAAATTACAAAAAAAAAAAAAAGAATAGTAGGCGTTCTCTTAAATTACAAAAAAAAAAAAAAAAGAATAGTATGCTTTCTCTTCTCCGTAGATACCTTTCCCTTCTCCTCAATTTGTCTCACTATTTTAAACAATCTTTTTTCTATCTTTCATTTTTTCCCACTGACTTCGAGCATAAAATTGTTAAAAGCACTATGCCCCAAAGGGAGCTCCTTAGCAGTTTCAGTTGCAACACTCAGAAAATAAATTCTTATGTCGTTTTTTTATCAATGGTTCTACAAGAACCCAAGAAGGATACACAAATCGAGGGGAGAGCTTTCTACCGTTACGACTCTCATCACCATCTTCTATACTACCCATCAGCAACCCACTGCCACTATTACCACCACCTAAATACCACCAAAAAAAAGAAAGGAGAAGAAACCTAAGCTACGCAAGAACCCCATTCAGCCATTCCATTTAATCAATAGCCAACATCAGTCCTTGCATACACCCAGTCTTTGCTCGCACTAGCACAAGCACTAATGCCAGCGCCAGACCTTACAAGTACCTAGCACCAGCTATAGCCTCAACCTAATCACCCACTTGATCGACCTTTGCACATTCCCAACCCTCAACCACCAATAATCCAGCACACACATACCATCCTCTCCATACCAACCCGATACCCAAGCTTAACATAAAAAAAAAAAAAAAATCCCGTGGCCCTAACCGAACATCCTACCCGAATAGATACCAAAAATAAAAAAGGAATAGAAACAACAATCACAAAAAAAAAAAAATCAACACCTCCCTTGGGTAAGGGGAACACATCGCCAACACCCAGAAAAGAAAAAACACATCCACAGGGTAGGGAGAACAAGCTTAAAAAAAAAGAGGGAGAAGGAAATGGCCATGAGTTTTGATTATAGGTGTTTTTGGGAATCTCAAGGCCGGATCTATGGAGAAGAGGAAGGTCTCGAACGTGGGAAAGGTATACTAGAAGGAGGGACTGTTTGGAGGGGCAGTGGGAGAAATTTTTTAGTTTTTGAGCCTTGACTTTCAGCCCAAATTTGAGAGAATTTATAATATAAGCTTTTAGAAAGATCCAATTTGGCAGGGTTAAAGAAGGGTTTGAAAGAAATTTTTGGCATATTTTCTAGGACTTTTTGGTGCCAACAAACGGCGGCCGGTGATGGATGCAAAGGTAACGGTGGCAATCTACTGTCGGATTCTAGGAATAGGGGCGGCTGGCAATTTGCGTTTTAAAAGCTTTAAAGGTTTTTTTTTTTTTTAAGGAGAAAGATTTAAAATGAGACAAAAAATATTAGGCTTTTATAATAATCAAAAAAAAAAGAAAAGAAATCAAATGGCCCGTGCACCAATTTGGATCGGACTCGAGGTTCATGCACATGACTCGGAGCGACTACTATTGCTTTTTTTAGCTGATCCAATTGAATCGGAGTTTGAACTGCACGAGCCACTTAAAAATAGTCCAAACTGACTAAAAATAGCTTTAAATCACTCAAACTGGACCAAACAGCCTTTGGACCGTTACCCGGCGTTGACCAACCAATTTTTAGTAGTTTTCTTTATTTTCCTCATTGTTTTTAATTTTTAATTTATTTAAATGTTATTAATGCATGTTTATGTTCTAAATCCCTAGAATTAATTTTTAAAAAGAATAATTAGAAAATTGATGTGAAAAATTAATAAATTAAAAAAGTATAGGTATAAAAATATAAAAATATAATAAAAATAAAAATCTCCAAAGATGAGATATTAAGGAAGTCTAAGTAGTAATTCCTTAAAATCCCTATGTGAGGATATTTTTCTAAAATATTACCAAAGTAATTGATTATTCTTATAGAGTATTTATAAAAATATTCAATACAAAGGATTGTTATTTATTATTTTCCTAAAGAAATATGTAAAATAATAATAAATAAAATAAAAACAATAAAAATGTTGAAAGGGAAAAATGAATCCTCTTAGTAATATAATTTTATATAATAATGCATAAATATTATTGATTGCAGTAATTAATTATTAGTTTTTTTTTTGAAAAAAGATAAGGAAAAAAATTAAAATTTTTTGATAATGAGATATTAAAGAAATTGAAGTAATAATTCTTTAAAAATCTATATGTGAAAATATTTTTCTAAATACTACCAAAGTATTGGAGTATTTAGAAATATATTCAATATAAAAAGAATTTCATTTACTTATTTTTAATTTAAAATATAAAAATAATAATAAAAGAATTTTTTTTAAAAATAATAAATAAATAGTAAAATATAATAAATAAAAAATGAGAGAAAGAAAATATTTATCCGATGATGAGATTCTAAAGTAATTCAAGTAGTGATACCTATAAAATCTTTAAGTGTGAATTTTTTAGAAATATTATCATCATATTGGAGTATTTACAAAAAAAGAAATTCTATACAATAAAAAATTTCATTGTCTTCTAAAAAAAGCAAAAAATAAACAAATAAATTAATGAATTAATAAATAATTAAAAGAAAAGGGGTAAATAAAATATGTGTACTAATATTTCATTATTTGCTTGGCGTGTATGTCACTCAATTTTTGAAAAATAAACACGACCTTTGAAGATAAAATTTTAATATAATCAAATTAATGGTACCTAAGAAATCTCTAGATAAAAAAAAATCCTTTCGATGTGACCAACATATTAAAACATTGTATGAATTCTTTCAATAACAAGATTTTAATTTATTTTTCTCAAATAAAGTAGACCTTTTTGTCACAAATAAAAGTATAAAAAATAAACCAAAATTATCACAAATAAAGGTAGTCAAGAAAATTATTTTTAAATACCAAAATTAAGACTTTTTTGTTAAAATTAAAGAATAACACATAATTAATTGGTATTATTTTTTAACGGGCACTGTAAGGGTACTAATCATTCTTCACATGTAATCAAACTCTTAAATTTAAATTATTTTACAAACCATAAAATTATCTTTTTAATAAATTTTAATAAATTTTAAGATTTTATTAAAAAAGTAAGTTTTAATAGGTGACAATCGCACTTAACAAAAAAAGTTTACTGGCGACTCCTAATTTCTTTTTAAATTCATCAAAGGTCCTAAAAACGTTATGACAGCTTAGCGACTCCATTGGAGAAGTCATTTTTTTTAGGGAATTAGCAAAAAAATTAAATATATGTTATCCTGAATTTTGATTTAATGGTCTTACTTGGCATTTAACTTTAATTTTTTTATTTTGATTTTTTGTAAATAACAATAGTAATAAAAAAATTTATATGCATTTTATTTTAATTATGTCATTTATTCATTTATTATTTTATGCTTTTTTTATATATTATTCTTGATAGATTGCAAGTTATTTAAGGTTAGGTTTTCAATGTTATAGTGCTTTATTCATACATAGCACTTTCATATCATGCATGAGTTTTATACTCGGGTTCCATTTTTTTTATAAAAAAGTAGAATACTTATACTCTCGTGAAGTGATAACCTCTGCAATAGCAAATGAAGTACTCTATCTTAGAGTACCTATACTCTCGTGAAGTGATAACCTCTACAATAGCAAATGAAGTACTCTATCTCAAATTGAACCCTTCCCGTTTGCAGCTCTGCAATAGCAAATGAAGTACTCTATCTCAAATTGAACCCTTCCCGTTTGCAGCTTATCATTGGTGAGGATCGATGTGCTTTACAAGTCCTGTGTGGATGCCAGTGAGGAACAATTTGGGAACCTTTAGACGTATAAATCCTCACTTAGCATATAGTTAACTTTAAAGGACCATCCTTAGGTAAAGCCATGTTGACATTTTTGTAGAAATTACCCAAATAAGGACACATGAGGGACATTATTATACAATTTATATCTAGGGTAATAATAGTGCAAAAAATTAAAATTTTGAAAAAACTAAAAAAATAAAAGAAAAATGTTCTTTCAATAAATTTTCTTTTGATATTCTATTCAATTCGTTTGTTGTTTGTCCAAGATTAGTATCTTCAAAAAAATTTTTCAAAAAAAATAATTTTTTTTGCACTTTCCAATAATCAAAATAATAAAACAATAAAAAAAACAATTTTTTTTTTTAAAAGAGATGAAATTTTTTCAAAAAATGAAGTTTTTCTTTATTTTATTTTATTTGTTTAATTGGCCAAATAATAAAAGTAAAGATACGAATAAATTTTTGAATTTTGGTTATTTTATGTGTTTTTATTTTTCATAGGAAATATTTTCTTAAATTCATATTTCATTCTAAAAAAAAAAAAGAGAAAAAAGGAAAGAAAAATATTTTAATTTTGAATGTTATTTGACCATTTGCGTTTCATTTGATCTTTCTTATGTCCTTTAAAAATAATAAGATTGTACATACACTTCATTTCATGCTCAAATATTTAAATGATAGTGTCAATTTTATTGGATTTACATAGTATATGCATTGCATTTCATATAAACATGTCTTATCATGTATATAATATGTTAGTACATTGGATATAAGCATGTTTCATCATTATGTATCTACGTCTCATCACACATATATTATATAATCATATTTCATACATATGGAATCACAAATGATATGATTTTGATAGAACTTGCATTGTATAAATTGCATTTCATATGAACGCATGTCACCATCCCTATAATAGGATTTTACATTTCATGCATTTACATTCACATGGTTTGTATTGTACATATTCTGCATCTCACATAAATGCCTCATCACTCATGGACTGGTACTGATAATTTTATTTTTTTATAGAATTATCATAGGGTTTTATGTTAAATTATAATACTTCTATACTTGATTTTTGCTTGAATTAATCCAA